TATATATAATTTTTTTTAAAAAATTATTTATTTATTTTTTGTAAGGCAGCTCCTGTTTTCAGCAACGTTAAATCACTCTTTTTCTCAATGGAGTCTGGCATTAAAGACGATATAATGGCTTCATTTCCCTATTAGAAATCACTGTCTGACAGTACGATAAAGGGGTGAAAATATTCTACATGTATTAGGGCTGGGTGCTATCACGACTATGTACGATATATCGATATATTTTCAAGCAGGATATAAATTTACACAACACTGTTAATATCGATATAGGGTCAAGTTGCGTTACATGACACATACCAGTGTTTATCTCTCCTCTGTCACACTCCACACAGCTCCGCCCCTCTCACTGACTCAAGTTCTCCAGCAGCACTTTTTAGAGCTGTAACATGATGTGCACCTCCGCAGAAATGTAACTACATGTCACAGTGACGCAGACCTCCTGTCTGTTTCTGTCAGCTGAAACCATTTCCCTCAGTGGAAACTTTTATTTCCACTTTCCACAGATAAGAAACAATAAATTGTGAAGACAGTAAAGCTTCCACAAAAATAGCATTTTAGGTCTTGTGTGTGATTTATCCTGGCTTCATATGAGCAGAGGAAATTTCCACTAGTTGCTAGGCTAATTTATACAATGTAAAATGCCATAGACTTGTGCTAATAACATTAGCATGTTGTATTTGTGTGGAAAATGTGTCCAGCAAAAGACAAGGGCTTTGTCTGTGAATGCTGCGAGTTATAGTGTAGCTGATTTCTGTACTTAATGTTTAAAAAGCTGCTATTAAGCCATGTTTAATGTGTGTTTTTAATCAACTAAAATTTACGGCACTTCACAGAAACTCCACTGATGACTACTGTTTTGGAGGTGTAACTGTTATTTTCAAACAGGGGAATAAAATCCCTGTCTCTGCATTTTATTTTGCAACTGAAAACATGTAGCCCAGTTCCTAGAAAATACTGACATATTCATTTTTGTCCGTATCGCCCAGCCCTAAAATAAAGCGTACACTTATACTGTCACAGACTTTTTTTAAGGTGGGTCTTTTTTATGTAGCTACAATACTTTTTGTTGCTAACCCTGTCCACAGCAGTATATTGCTTAGCTCCTGTAGTGGTACCAACTGACATCCTCTGTAGGTAACTATGTGACTATAAATAAGTACCTCATACAACCTGACTTCAAAAGATCTGAACTAATCCTTTAATATGGTTGTATGATTGGCAGTTTGTCAGTTTGTTAGTTGTAGACGACATGAATAATCAATGATAATTTGTTTCTTCGGGTCTCACCAGTTCTACTCGTCCAAACCCGCCGACCCCGAGAGTAGCGATGACCTCCAGGTGGTCAAAGGGTCTGGATGAAGGAAACGCTGACACCATTTCCTTCAGCTGGATGACGTCTGGGGACAGCGGCTGGCTCTGGTGACGTGACACCGACCTCCTGGACGGAGACAGAGGGAGAACAAGTTATGTTTATATTTCCACTCTAAGTGAAATGTTTATGGTTCAAAAATGAGTTTTGTTTGGACCCACGTTTCATTCTGACCAAACTTTTTTTTTTTTCCATCAGCTTCTCATTCACTCTTCCATCCTGAGCACACGGCGCTGCACCTACCTGGCATGTCTCTTCTTGTCGTCACGATCAAGTGTTGCCACGTAGCCTTGGAGGTACTTCTGCAGCTCATTGAAGGTGCCCACTGTCTGATCAAATGTCCTAGAAAAACAACAACCTACATCAACCTTGCAACCACTGGAATGTTGGCTGATAGGCTTCATAACCCCGACTTTGATTTTACTGACGTGGAAGAAATCAGAGCGAGGAAAAAGATTTCTCTCACACTGCTGACAGCAGCTGATAGATACTGAAATACCCCCTTGTATGTTTCCTACGGAAGATCTAATTATGTTGTGTAGATCACATTAGACTGCAGGGTAATCAGTGGACATATCAGGACTGGCATTTTCAGATGGCGTTCACAGATTTGTCAAAACTGATTATGGAAGAAAACTCAGAGTTTCATGATGATAATTCAGGCAACAAAACTTTGTTTAGTAATAACTAAGCTCAGAAAAGCAGCCCGGCGTCACAGGTCACCACTCAAAACATTTGTAGCTTTAATTTTCTCAGACTTTTCGTCATAAATTCAAATATTTCCAACAACCTCCTGTTACTAAGGGAACAATATTCTGTGTGTGTCCACAAAACTTCACTTCAAATGTCAGCATACTCACTCTCTGTCGATGACGAGGCACTCCACCCCGTTCTCATCAGCGATGATATTAGCTGACCTGACATCATCACTGAAAGAGACAGATAAATCATCACACACATAAACACACATTTTTCTGACTCCTCTCACTGTTTGGATGATTTTAGGATAAGGTGGGCATTTTGTTTTTAAAGCTGCGATAGGCAGTTTTATTTTGGCGTCACTGAGCAGAGATCCCATAAAAAACTTTATTGTAATTCAAGTGGTCTGAGAGAAAACTAAACTTCTGCACCTCCTCTTGGCTCTGTTTTTAGACTTTAGAGAATCTAGCCTGCAACAGAAGGCTTTGGCTGATCACAGGTTTAGTCAAAGAGAGGGCGTTCCCATTGGCTGTTCTACAAATGCAGATGCGTGTGCACGTCCCTTTGGTGAAAACCCTGATTTAATGACAGTGAATTCTACAAAGAAAGTTGCCATTCAGGCATTGACAACAACTGCAAGGCAGCCCAAAAAAATGGAAGAGGGACTTATCAAAAAGAAAGTCTATAAGAATGTCTGACTATAAATGAAATAAAACCTGTGTCAATACCGGCAAAATGTTTCAGAGATGGAGAGAAAATGCTAATAGTTTAGCTGTCTGCTAACCAGAGAAAAAGGCTCACAACTGCTGGTAGTCAAAATTTCAAGTTTATGTAGCTAACGTTAGCGAGAGCCTCATATCGCTAACTTGTTACACTGCCTGTTCAAGGCGGGAATATCCTGCAGTTATTCTGCCTTGCAGTTCTGTATAAAAGGTGCAAAATGGGGGACAGAATGTCTCACCTCTGAACTGGGAACAGAAGTAATAACGGCGCTGAATCGATGTCTGTATAAACGAGAAAGCCAGCAGGACGGGATCATGAGCGAAACAGGTGTAATGTTTTGACGACGTGTTTTGCGTGTGACCCACCTCTGGAGATTTAAAAAGTAGCTTGTAGCAGTTAGCAGCTAACTCAAAGACAAAGAACAGCTGCTGAAAATGTCCACAAACTGGGAAAACAATGAGGTCCTGGAGCTCCTTACCCTCCGAGCAGAGGACGAGATCAGCGGCCATATAACAGAGACGTTAAATGATTTTTGTTGCCACGTTATGCCATTGTTATTATTCATAAAGTGCTGCCGAGGCATACGTTATATGTCACACTTGAAGCTGACGCTGTTGTGTTACACGTCACGCCCGTCACACCTCTTCTCTTCTGCAATGCTGGCATGCTATTTAAAGTTACACACTGGAGCAGAATATTGCGGCTATTGAGTGGCTGTGTAAAATGCAAAGGCAGCATAAAGAAGGGAGTTTGTAGCGTCCATATAGCGCCATCTCTGTGTAAAAAGGGCTATAGTGTGTCGTCTGTATCACTCCGCGCTGCTACAGACCAACTCATCAGGAGGAGAGTGGGCAGCAGATCCAGAGACTGACCCCCAATCAGCAGCTGCAGCAACCAGAATTCGGCCAGTGCAAACCCCACCTCCAGGGGCAGGGATAGCCCTGAATTCTCGCTGGATCAGCAAACTTTCTGTTGCTGCTGTTACACAAGTTTGACCCATCCCTGGGCAGTTTGTGCTGGTCGAATTCAAGCTCCCAGAGCCACTGAATGAGATGCACCCAACTCTTCAATTAAGTAAGAATACATTCTGTAACTCAATGTATGGGAGACACTGAGTTACTGTATGAAGCGTGTGCATATGCCTGTGGTCGTCTGGTGGGAGGGGCTTAGGACAGAGAGGCGAGAGCTGCAGGAGGAGGGTGTGTTTTCACATTCTGCCAGGTTCTTTTTTTATTTATCTTTTCTAGATTTCTGCCTATCCCAGCTTTAAAGTGCATCAAGGACGAACTGTGCAGAACAGTCACAGCTGTGCTTCCTCTAAAAGAATCAATATATAGAACATTTTGTATTAAAAAACTACATTAAATAGAATTAAACAGTGATAAATCACAGGTCAGGATTACAGCAGATTACATGTAATGAGATTACATGTATATAAATACAGCACAAGCCTGATATTGTTAAGTTTTTCCTTATCTGAAGCACTGGCCTAAGGACAGAGGGTGTCCTGTGGTTTCTTTAGGTCATAAATGTGTGATTTTTGTTTAGTATAAATAAATAAACATGACTTGTTTCCTTCCACCCAAAAAACTGACGGCAGGAGCAGAATGAAAAGCTGTTCTGTGGTGGTTTGTTTTTACCTGATAAGTGCTTTCTCTCCAAAGTAGTCTCCCCTCTGCAGCGTGTTGATGATCTGTGGTACCTTGTGGGCCTCGGTGCTTTGGGTCACCTTCACCTGCACAACACAAACAGCTGAATCCTTAAAGCACATTTCACTTTTTCACATCGCCATCTCCAGATCACTGCTGCAGCTTTTACAGGTGCTTTCAGTTTTCTCCAAATGTTTCTACATGCATTGTAAAAAATGAGAACCCTAAGAAATTAGAATAATTGACATATTTAGTTATGATAATTGGAACACGATGGCTACGAGGGATTAAGTGGCGTTAATGTACTCTGTTTTCCTGACGTGCTGTCAAAATAGACACATTCACTGTAAGAGGGTTTTAATCAGCTGCCTGTGTTTGCTCTGCTGGTTGTTCTGCTTCCTGTAGAGCAGCAGCTTTCAACAAGCGTTACTCCAGCAGCCTGGATGTTTTGAAAGTTCTTCTTAATTTGTGAGGCTCTAAAAACCAGTGGCCCACCCCGGTCGAGGTCAAACATCCCACTCGTGGCACCATTCTGCCAAAGAAATGCCGCAATGACATCAGAGCAGTAACGGCCGTGGTGTGTTTTAGCTAAGTGTCCTGTTTGACCTCAGTGACCTTCGCTTCCCCTGTTTTTCCTGGTGGCAGCACTCTCAGAGTTTATTCCCTCCCTGGTCAGGGGGTATGGAGGGGAGGGGGCTAGTAGAGCCATTTCCTGTATTAGCCCCCTTTCTCCCAAACAACATGTGTTCCTCTCTGGTTTGGTTAGCTTAGCGCAGAGGAGCTGCTGTCTCACATCAGCTCATAATGGCATTTTGAAAGTCCCCTGTGGACGGCTCTGGCCCCTCTCCATCTCCCCTTGCTCCCTGGTGTCAGGTTGCTGACTTATCAGACAGACGGGCGGGTGAGTCATGGTCCCACACCTCCCAGTCTTACATTCAGTTTGACCAGCATTTTGTTTTGTTGGACTACTGGCAAAACTGGTCTGTTACTGAAGGATAATCTCCTCATTTTGTGTGTTTTTTATCTTGTCTTGTGGCCTTTATTTATATTTGTCATGATATCCTTCAAGAGATGATTCTAGGTGACCATTAGGGTCTGATACAAGTTGATTAATTAACTCCAAATCACTAGTCAATTAATCAGTGAGTTCCAAATTGCCACAGGGATTCTCTGCCACTGAACTGCAGATGACACACCTGCTATATTCACTGTCGTATTCAGTTTTGTTCACATTCGTGGAAACCAAATTGATGGGGAAGAAGACAAATGAAAGCAGGAGCAGTGTCCTGCAAGATTTTGGAACACTGGAGGGATTTCTGTAGCCATTCAACGCTCATGCTCACTGATGAGAAAATCCTTTGCAGCAATCATATCGGTGCAGTATAGAGACGTCACACTGTATTGTCTGACCGAAGCACTGGAGGATTTATTTTATTGTTGTAAGAACAGGATTAGGGCTCGTGTCTCCATTAATGAGTGTCATTGTTGAGGAGTGAAACCGTGTCAGAAATCTCTGCAGTGCAGCCCATCTGTAACATGTCAGCATAACCAGTGAGAGTAAGGGCAAAAAAGCTGAATTTTCCAGTATCTGTATTTGCACATAATGTTGTGCAATTAAAGGGATAGTGCACCCAAAAATTTAAATTCAGCCATTATCTACTCACCCATATGCCGAGGGAGGCTCAGGTTAAGTTTTAGAGTCCTCACATCCCTTGCAGAGATCCAAGGGGGAGTGGGTACCCACACAACTCCACCTAATGGAGGCTGACGGCACCCCAGATTCAAACATCCAAAAACACATAATTGAAACTACAAAATATCTCCATACTGCTCGTCCGTAGTGATCCAAGTGTCCTGAAGCCCCGACATAAAAAGTTGTTTGGAAAAACATCACTTGAACTTTGTTTTTAGCCTCATTGTAGCCTGTAGCTCTAACTGCCTCTCTGTAGACTGCACTCACGTGAGACCAGCGAAAGCACGTGAACACACATGAACCCATGTCTCACGGTCTTGCGCAAGCGTGCACACGTGAGCAGTCAGAGCTACAGGCTACAATGANCAGAGAGGCAGTCAGAGCTACAGGCTACAATGAGGCTAAAAACAGAGTTCAAATGACGTTTTTCCAAACAACTTTTTATGTCGGGGCTTCAGGACACTTGGATCACTACAGACGAGCAGTATGGAGATACTTTGTGGTTTCAATTATGTGTTTTTGGACGTTTGAATCTGGGGTGCCGTCAGCCTCCATTAGGTGGAGTTGTGTTGCTACCTCCTCTCCCCTTGGATCTCTGCAAGTGTTGTGAGGACTCTAAAACTTCACCTGAGCCTCCCTCGGCATATGGGTGAATAGATAATGGCTGAATTTTCATTTTTGGGTGCACTATCCCTTTAATGTTTTTTAGCCATGGAAAAAAAACTAGAGATAGAAGAGTGGCTTTAGGGATAGAAATATCAGTCTGTCCATCACTTTAAGACTGAAATACGTCAGCAGTTACTGGATGGATGGATGGACATGAAGTTTTGCATAGACATTCATGGCTCCCACAGAATGAATCCCAATGATTCTGGTGATAACCCAACTTTTCATCTCACGCCACCATAAAGTTCACATTTGCCATAGACTGTATTTAAAAAGATGGACAACTTGTCTCCAATTCCTCCCACTGTACAAAAATTATGCCAAAATATCCCAGGTACCAGCCCGGTCACCAGAAAAAAATCTTGGCTTTGTACATTTCTGCAAATGATGAATATGTTACATTTGCATGTTTCATACGTATCCTATTAATGTGTCTAAAGTGACGTAGTATATGAGCTGACTGTGTCATCTTGAGGTGAAGGGGTGGGGAGATAGCATATCACCTATGCGAGATGCCTGCCACACTGGCGGCTGTGATTGAGCGAGTCATTTCAGTGTGTCCAGCGGCTTTTTAGCCACCCAATGTGGGTGATTTGTAGTGACACATTTCTGATTCCAGTCAGGATAGTACCACGAAAAGCAATTGTTTTTTACCAAGACATCGCTGTGTTTCCAGTGGAGACTGTGCCCCCAAAACTGGGTATATCAAGCCAAAGCATGATCTTTTCCTAACAGTAACCAAGTGGTTTTTGTGCCTTAACCTAACCATGTGTTAACCACAGTGCTGGTGAAACGTCTACTTTCAACATATCTGCTACACAATAATATGCAAATGTAATGTATCTGTGGTTTGCAGAAATGTACGATGCCAACATTTTTCCTGGCCATTTGGTTGCCAAGGCGAACTACCAAAAATGAAAGAATCCATGTATGGGGAAAATTGACATGTACTTGGATTTTTTTAGTTTGGCCCATGTCTTATATGCTACAGCCCAGTTGCCCAGCCCATGGTGGATGTCATGTAGGTGAGACGTCTACCAAGATGTAGACCACTGTTCAAAACCAACAAAAACAGATGTGTTTTAACAACCCATCATAGTTTTTTTGGCAGCTTTTTAGGGCACAAAAAGTGGTTGTTTTTTACAGAGATATCGATGCGTTCTAAGGCCGAATTTTGACTCTATAATCTGGGAATTTTTAAGACCATACCATACCATACCATAACCAAGTGGTTTTTGTGCCTAAACCTGACCTAATATCTACCACAGCGCTGTTTGCTGAATCATAACATACAAATGTAAGGTATCTTTGGTTTGCATAAATGTACAATGATTAAATGGTTTTGTTTTTTTTGCAATTGGGTTTTTAGGCATAATTATAATCTGATATATCATAGCTATGAAACAGGTGATTAAAGAGCTTCTAACCTGAGAGGAGGCTTTAGTGGAGACCCTGAATGGTGGAGACCCTCTGAGATAACCAAACAGAGCTGCAGTTTGAGGGTCATGACATAAATGACAAGTTCCATGATGTGCTCCTGTGTGTGTGTGTGTGTGTGTGTGTGTGTGTGTCCTGCTTGTTCATGTTGTCTGTTACAGTGTAAAACACACGTTACCTTCCCCTGTGCGATGATGTAGAAGGTGCTGCCCTCCTCTCCCTCCCGGATAACGTAGTCTCCCTTGTCATAGTATTCCTAATGGGAGAGAGGGAGGTGAGGACAGCGGTCAGAGCTGAAGCATTACATTGATTTAACCATTGACCCGGCCGGTCTGATTCCTGGTAGCCGGTCCCCTGCGGGATGAGCGCTGGAGTTCAGCCATCAATGATGCTCTGTCATTCAGAGCTTCTCAACCCAATGACCTAGAGGGATTCTGGGGGTCATGGGATTAATGAAACATGAAGTGCAGGTCAATAGTTTGTGTTGATTATGATGTTTAAATGTCTGTCGTGAAGGCCTTTCATCATCACGGTCACAGGAGGAATTTATTCGACACCATGGCCTATGTTAATATTAATTTAAATGTATTTATTACCTACAATACAATGTGCTGTTTGTACAGTACTCTTCGTACTGCTTGCATCGTCAGGCAACATGACAACAGGATCCTTTGTGTGGTGGATGCAGAATTCCACTGGAGGATGTCAGGCAATAGGTAGTATAGAAAGCAAGAATGTCTGCATAGGGTAGAGGATGGGTCATGGAAGACCATTGTTGGTGTCCTGTGTGAAACCAAAAGTCAATTCATTTTACTTTCGGTCCATACTGCAGCTGCCCTTACAAAGTACTTACTGTTGCATGGAGTACGCACACAGTTGGGACATACTACTTCATCATAACATTACACCTTGAACTTTGACGCTATGCGGTCGGCCGTTGACCAAAGTCGGGCCGTCGGTGAGCGTCTGTTGCCCTAGTTTTTGCGGTGTGTCCTGCACCGTTGGCACTTCGGCACAGCGGCTTTTTGGCCGATTGAGCATGTTGAATTGGCAGCAGACCTTGTCGGTGAGAGAGAGGTTCAGGGTTTTATTTCCTCGCCCCTGTAGCGAGTGAATCTGCCTGTAGTGAAACCAGGGCTAACCAGTGCTTCCTCCTCATGCTCCACTTCACTCAGCTGCCCGATAAACCCGCTGCTTCTTCCCACTTTTGGAGCTAGCTGGGAGCGGCTAGCGAAGCGTTAGCCGCAGCATGACCAGAGGGAAGCACAGCCAGTTAGCCTCCGCTAGTCTCTGAGCTAGCCTCGGCTCTCCATTTGGATCTCCGCACCGAGCTCTGGTTTGTTATTCAGGTTAAAGTGGGAAGAAGCAGCGGGTTTATCGGGCAGCTGAGTGAAGTGGAGCCTGCGGAGGAAACACCGGGACCATCTGGATGTAATAGTCCGTGGAGGTGCTGCGGTGCTCGGCTGCACAGATAGGAAACCCCTCGGCTGACAGGATGTACCACTCTCTCACTCCGCTCTCTCTCACGCAGGCGCAGAACGTACGTGCCACTTGGCCGTCGGATGTTGTCCGTGTAGTGTGTTCAAATGTAACTGACACAGGACGACGTAGACTACGTAACAGTTGGCTTTCGTCGCCGCTAGTTCTTTGATGTCAGTTTGGTGTGTCTGCACCTTTACAGTCCGTAGTGCAAATTTTTAAGTAAAAAGAGTACAGATAGAAGGCTCTGTCTGTGTGTGTATACGTATTTTAGCATTGGGCCAACCTGGTCTCACTCTGAAGTCATCGTAATCCGGTGCTTGGGCAGTGACTTGCGGCGTCACACGCTGACAAAAAAAAGCAGTCCTTTAATGTCAGTTTAATGGGCAGTGAAAGTCCAAGTAGAATTGGCAGGAGGGTCAGTGGATGGGTCCAACAAACACTGACTTTCACCTGGGAGAGCGGTGTTCGCGTCCTGTAAGATTCTAAAGCCAAACCCTGTTCTTTTTTCCTAAACCTAGCCATGTGCGTTTGTTGTTGGAGGAAAAAAAAAACATCAATTTGTGTTGTACTGACAAAGTGCATTTATTTTGAAAGAGACTGTAAATGGTAAATTTCCTGTGAAAACAGAAGTGTATTTTGAAAGAAGACAATGCATGTAACAGGCAGAACTGTAAACGTGCCTCGAGGAGGTTGTAGTCATTTCCCTGGAGCCTGGAGCATCAGTATTGTTGCTATGGTTACTTGCAGATTACATATGCCTTTCACACTGATCCAGAATCGTGTTTTAGCCTTCAAGAGTCTTGATTTGATTATAACTGAGTCCTGTCAGCCAATCAGAAACAAGTCATTCCTGTGGTCGTGGAATAAACTGACAGACTCAGAGCTTGTGAAAAGGCCGGTCATCTGCTCGCTCTGACACACTCCAGTTGGTGCAAAAATAAGATCACACTTGACTTAGAAAGTTTGTTTAGCTCAGTCTTACGAGCATCATAAAGCTGAGTGACACTGTGAAATATTCTTGAATTAAACAATGAGGTACAGCGCGTTCTCTCAGCCCTCTGAGCTCTCATTCAAACACAGATTCCTCCATTTCATGCTGTCAGTCACACCAAACCTAACACACCGTCCCAACCACAGCACTAAGACCAGGCTGCTGAATCAGCGAGCTGCCAGATCACCTTCCACGTTAAAGCTTTTAGGTGAAGACGGGGAAGTGCAGAGAATGAAGGTGACCAGGATGAAATGTTCTCTGGGACCGACGCCAAATTCCCGCAGCTGAGACAACTGTGCACGGCTGTAATCCATTTGACTACAGAGGACTTTGGCGAAAAGTGAACAAACAAATCAGAGCAACCACGCGTAAACATTCCCTGGTGTTTACTGTCAAAACTCTTGACACAAGTGGCATTTTCCTTGAGCGTCCGAGCTTGTTTACGTCACGTTTACGCTTCAGGAGAGCCTAGTTTAACACCCGTCCGTGACAGCGGAGACAACATGCCAAGGTTTTGTTTATAAAGACTGTCTGGATGATACAGCGACTGTGCAGGGGAGAGACACCAATTGAATTGTGTCGATGGGTTTGTTACACCAGGCTGCCGGGCCTGAATCCTGAACCTGAGCCAAACATTTACCTTTTCAGGACATTTTCACCTGAAAGCTTGAAAGCACGTCCCTCCATAAAATGCTCATCTTCACCATCAGCCTGCTCTGATTTGGTTTGCTCATGTCAGTGTTTGAGGAAGCCACTTATGCTCAGCTGTGTGTGTGCGATGGGTTTGGCTGCGGCCGCCCTATTTTTGGCAACTGTCAATCGACCAGTCACTGCACATATTCAACTGTGTGTCTCTCTGGTTTTCAGGGACAGAAACTCTAACACCAGAGGAAGGATTAAACCTATTTTAGGACCGGTCCAGTCTTTAGCAGCCCCCATGTGGGCTGGTTGTCCCGTACAGCTCCTTGAAAGCATCCTGCTGCCTTCAAGGAGCGGTTGAAATATCAGTCATGACATGTGCACACATGAATGATTTAAAAAGGGGACACTGACTTTCACTCATCCCTAATTTGCAGAGAGGTGTATCACAATGTAATAGGTTTTTATACATAATGTATACCTCACATTGCCCATATATGTGTGGCCTATGTTGTGTCTCAACATGATCCACATTTATCTACACATATTTTCTTTTATTAATTTTAAAGCTGTTACAAACCAGCAAGTTATTTTAAGCATCCTAACAGTACATTTCCACAGAGGTGTTTCTGGATGCAAGGGGCTGTGCTGCTGCCCAGTACTGGACACTTAATGGGCGCACCACGTTGTTTCGTTGGCTGTCTGCTCAGGGATTTTAAACAGGACCAACATTGTGACTTGTTTGGAAACTTTCTGTTATATTATGAATATAGTTCCCTGAAATGTGTTTCTGGAAACATTTTAGGCGGCTCATCCCAACTCATCAAATACCAGCTCTTTGTCAGTGGACTTTCATGTCAATCTGTGACATGCTAGGTATCCTCTTGCGTCAGTTTCGGAAGTTCAGAGACATCATGTCAATTTACGCTCATTACATGCATTGTGTCTTTTCAAAATACACTCATGCTGTAACAGGAAATGGACAGTTTCTGCTCGTTAAATGCGTATGATCTCTTTCAAAATAAATTGACAACGTAGGTAAAACACTTTGTCTCAGGTTTCCTTCCTTAAGTTTACGCAAATAAAGTCCGCGGTTAGGTTTAAAAAAAACCCATCATGGGGTGTCGGTAGCGTAGTGGATAGTGCCGGTGCCCCATGTATAGAGACAATGCCTTGCTGCAGCGGTCACAGGTTCGACTCTGGCTTGCAACCATTCTCGTGTCAACCCCTACTCTCTCTCTCTCACCCCATTTCACTCTGTCCTGTTCATTAAAGGCAAAAAAGCCCAAAAAATAATCTTTTAAAAAAACCCATCATGGTTTGATTTAAAATAAGTACTCTTGTTACACACACTAGCACACTACGTTGTCTAAAAAAAACTCTCTGTGAAGCAGTAAATACAGTTTTATGTGCGTCACAACCCCCACGAAACTCATTTCACCGTCAGGATTCAATTTATTTGGTCCACAAGATTAAATCATTTTATCCCCATTAAAGATGGTGGAGCACAAACATGAAGTAGCCAACTCAACAGCCGGGAGTCATCTGGGTAATTTCATACCACAGCGTCAGAGCTTTCTGTGGCTTTGTGCACCACTCTGCAACTTTTATAGGAATGAACGGGGTCCCACCTTTAAGGCTGTATCCAGGTCTCTTCATACATCCATGGTTTGACCCATCTCCCCCCACTCCCACCCACCCAATGCGGCCTTTCTTGCTCTCTATGGTAGTTGTCCACTGCATTAGAAACAGTCGTTGTCCCATGTGTATCATACCACCGCTGAGGGTGCTCTCCAAAGGCCACTGTGACTGACAAGTTGGGAGTGAGAACGAGCTGGTAGGGCTGTCCAGAATCACTATATGTTGGTCTCCAGAGCTTCGTTTTTGTGACATAATAACAGCCTGTGACATTTTTTTCTTATTCTGGATAAACTATAGATATACATATAGCTCATAATAATACACTCTGAATCTAAGACAGCTCCTGACGAAGAGCTGTGAAACAGAGGCACAGAAACAGCATAAGCCTTCTAGTTTCAACAAATTTAAGAGTTGAGATTTATAACGTTATTTATAAGATTCAGCGTTTTTGTGACACAGTTTAGACGTAGCGCTAAACGACAGTCTCCTTGCGGTGGTCAGTTCCACATGTGCCCAGTTGGCACAAGCTAACACAGCAGCAGTGGCTAATGCAGTTGCTGAGTCCGTCTTCATTTTAGATTGACAACTGTTAGTTTACAAAATTTTCACAAGCTTCCAGAAGCAGCGAGTCACACTGGACGCCTTGCATAAAGTAGCTCAGACCTTAAAGGCATGTAAATGAGGAGTGGGCCAACATGATGCCCCGTCTCCCAAAATGCACAGTGCTACCAGAACATACTGCACAGCTGCCTACATAGACAATGAATGGGAAGCAGAGCCTCTTATTCCTGCAGCATCCTGGGTACAATATGTTTCACGCCAACATCATAACTGAATGAAACAATAAACTATTTCCATTTTTATTTTATGAATTTGCTTTCAGCAGAGCTCCATCTTTCCCATTGAGGCTTTCCAGTTCAAAATCCAATCAGCAGATCAGACTGAAAACCTGACAGAGAATCCTGAAAGCAAGGTACCCCCCCCTCACACACACACACACACACACACACACACACACACAGATATTCTATACAGGCAGAAACACACACACCCCATAACGCACTAAATTCCATTCCCCCACTGTTTGACAAGAAGCTTCAATATTATCTGGCGGATTCTCGACGAACATCTGCACCACTATTAGGTTACAGCCGCCCCCCCGAGAGGCAACACAATCAGCTCCATCAGAAATGACTGAATAAGGAAATTCTCCCGTAGTGGAAAGTAGTACGGCGACTACCGATTGTAAGGAACGTCCTTGAAGTTTTCATTGTGAAAAGATGCTGAGAAAAGCTGTTTTTGACCCGAAGCTGACAAGCTGCGCTCCGTTTTCTCCTTCACCACTGAAACACAATGCTCATGGAGGAGAACACGGGCGAGCCCTTCTCCTGCATGTTTCAACACACACACTTAGACACACATTCACTTTTGCACACTTGTATGTTCTCACACCAAAAGCCTGTCACTCGCACATCTTTAAGAAATCACTCGTCCCCCATTTGAATAAACACTTTCTGGGGCCTTGGTCAAATAATTATGGTAACAATATACAGCGCCCGGCGATGACAGGAATAATATCGGCTCTGTTCATCAACAAGGTAATTTGTGAGGTCTTGCCGACTGGAGGTAGAGAGAATATGCTGACACGCAGTAATGGTATATGGCCAAATGGTAATGATATTTTGACAGCAGCTATCTGCAACGCTGGGGCTCCCATGAGCTGCCAGAGGGTTGTGCAATACTGAGGCAACACAATGAAAAATCAAATTGTCCCTTCGGTAGGAATATAGATAGTTTGACAGAATAACTTACCACCTCCAGGCAGTCCACTATTTTGCTCAGCTTGTCCTCTGGTAGATTAGCCAAGAGTGAGACACTGGCAGAAAAGACAAAACACACATGATGAAGATTAATTTCTGCATGTACCTTTTTATACAAATTACTATGCACATGATGCTAGGAACATTTGATGTAGAATTATACAATAATATAGCATGAGCTTAAGGTTTTCTATGATAGTACTCATATTAACCACCCTATCGGGAAGTTATCAGCCCATTAACTGGCCGTTATCTGTGCTTATAAGCCTCATAGATGGGTCAGAAGAGGCATGCCATACTAGTTCGTTAGCTGTCACTCTCTCCTCCCTTATGGCCCTAATGCCCAGTTCAGACCAAAGATTCGCGACGAGACAAGTTGAAACATGCAACTACTTGTAATGCGTCGTTCTGCAACGTTCTAAAAACCTGCTGGTTCACATCAATGCAACTAGATGAGATGGTGTATCATCTCTATGCAACAACTCTCTGTACTTCCGTTCTGATTTGCAGCTTTTCAGGTTTATTTTGTGGCTGAATATAATTTGTAGCTTCTTAAAACATGAATGAGGATAGTGATAGTGAGATACTGGCTACAGCTGCATTTGTTGTAGAGATGAAACGGTGAAAAAAAATAAAACAAGCCTGAGATGGACTGTATTATTATAAATACGCCATAATTATATAAGTAAGCAGCGCAAAGTAATCAGTCAATGAGAATGTGTGTTTGTGGGGGGCATAAGCTCATACAGCGAGCAGCAGCAGCAACCCACCGTCCAAAACTGGCACACTCTGAGGACGGAAACAGAGGGCTAAGCGGGGATGGAGCACCTGCTGCAGCAAGCAAACACGCCATCTGCGGTCATTTTACCCCCTTTCACACTGCCAGATTTTCCACAAATGTTGGGCCGTTTTGCCGGCAAGCTGCGAGCGTTCAGACACACAGAGCCGGATTGGCGAGTTGATCTGAGGTGCCCAATTTTCCACCTCATAGGGTAGACATATTGGCGGAACCCTTAAAAAGAATGAGGAAGCCTTCCGCAACGGGACGGGCTGTTGAAGACTTGTGGGAGGAGCTGTTGATGACGCTGCACGTGCGATCCACTGGCGGTGGATAAACAGGAAACAGCTGATAGCAGGAATTAGCGAGCAGCTAGTAGCAAGAGGGAAACACAAATTTGACAGACACTGTAAAGAGGAGCAACTGGGGAGACAAGGAATTGTGCGCCCTCCTTGTCCTCGCAAACACAGAGGCCATTAGCCGTCAAATGACGGGGACGGTGAAGGACGGGCCGACTTAAGAGAGAATCACCGAAGGACTGACCAGCCGCGGCTTCCCTCCCACGTCACTGTTTACGTCACATGCTGAGCTACATGTTTTGTTACTTGCTCACGCCCCCCATTGCCCCGAAAAAGGCACATTCTGTATAAACAAAAGTAGGCAGGTGGCATTTTGCTGCACTCGGTTTTGTTTTTATACTGCCAATGCTGAAAAAAGACTGACTGGGCTTTCCTGCAAATTTGCACAATTCCTGTTTAAAAAGGGCTTTCGACTTGACCAGCAGACTTCACCACAGTCCCATCGACTGTAGAAACAGGTGACAAGCTTTAAAACCAGACATTTGACCAGCTGAGTTGCAGGTGACACCATCAGCCGGGTTGAGTCAAGCTCAGACCGGCCAGTTCACACCGCTGCAACTTTTCTCTGCAACGTTCTAAAACAGTTTCATCTTGTTGCGAATCTTTGGTCTGAACTAGACTGACACTCGTAATTAGCCCGCGGGAGTCCGTTAAAATCATGTATCATACATCACATATCATTCTTTGACTCCATTATGCTTGTTACTTTCTTATAGCGGGAAATTTGTTGCATGTTATTGCTTACAAGAATTATAACAGTAGGTCGATAGCTCTTTGGCTACAGCTTGAGGCTAACCTTCGGAGGAAGTTGCGGTACTGTTCATGTCGCGTCTCAGCCGTCCTCCTCATGATGTTCTGAAACACCTCCCGGTCCAAAGCCCATGTCCTCACTCTGTTCACCGCTGTAAAAGCAACATCACATCTGTCACAAAGCTCTGACCTCTAAATGAAAAACTAGTTAACCTGTGCCCTTGATTAGTAAATACTAAAGGAGCCACAGCTGTTTTCAATAGCAGAGTGTTCAGGGGAACTTGTACACTGATAACCATGACAAAACTGTGAGTGACAACGACAAAAATTAACATTTTCTTTTCCCCTTCCTTATCTTTCATACAATTTTCTAGTTTAAACACAGCCCTCTATCACCACATAGTAATTCTGTATTGTTTTATTTTGTCAGATGGACAAAGGAGGCGAGAAAAACACAGTAATCTGTCATCTATCTCGATGGTGAATCACATCCAATCTACAGAAACTCTGAGACAGGCTTCTGTTGGTACAAGGAGGAAGTCAGAGTGAAAGTTTGACGTGAACCGGTAGCAAAGAAAGAGTCCCCCTTCATCCACTTCATCTGTTATCATGTAAAAGCCACTCAGAGAGGCTTGTCAAACTGTCACGGTTTTTCTAGTTCACCCTGATTATTGAGGTCAACTCGGTGCCCATCCCCCGAGGGCCACATGTCAATTACTTGGTTAAATATACAAACCCTGACAAAGAGCACTCACATAGTACATGGTATGTGCTTTCCAGATGCCAAGAAGGTGAAAACCAATCAGAATGCAAAGCTGTGGGTATCATGTAAAGCCTTTGTCAACACACCCGATGCAAAAGCTTGTTTACTTTGGTCTAATGACCTATCTGATTCTCCTGCTCTCGCCGTCAGGTGATTCCTTCAAGAAGTCACTGCAGCTCAGATGAAGGTCAGATGAAGTTTTAGGTTACATTCAGGAGTCAGGAGTGCGTTGGTGGGATATAAGAGGATATAATGTTAAAAGTAATGGACAGAGCAGGAGACATTTTCATTGATCACTGTGATATCATGAAAGAGGTACTGTTACCCTCATGCGAAAGTCAAAGTTCTGCAGGTGGTAGCGGCTTTGTTGTTAACCTCATGTGAAATCTGACTAATCCATAACATCTACACATCAACCCATCCATTTTTATCTGCTTATCCAGGGCCAGGTCGCGGGGGCAGCAGGCCAAGCAAAGCACCCCAAACGTCCCTCTCCCCAGCAACACTTTCCAGCTCCTCCTGGAGGACCCTGAGGTGTTCCGGGTCTGCCCCGGGCCTCCTACCAGTGGGACGTGCCCGAAACACCTCAAGCAGGAGGCGCCCAGGAGGATCCTGATCAGATGCCCGAACCACTTCAACTGACCCCTTTCGACGCAAAGGAGCAGCGGCTCTACTCCGAGCTCCCTCCAGATGTCTGAGCTCCTCACCCTATCTCTAAGGCTGAGTCCAGACACCCTTCAGAGGAAACTCATTTCCACTGCTTGTATCCACGATCTCATTCTTTCGGTCACTATCCAGAGCCTATGGCCATAGGTGAGGGTTGGGACGTAGATGGGCCGGTAAATCTTCACCACGATGGACCGGCACAGCGCCCTCATCACTGCAGAAGCCGCAACAAACCACCAATCCATCTCACAATCCAATCTACCCTCACTCGTGAATAAGACCCCAAGATACTTGAACTCCCTCGCTTGAGGCAGTAACTCTCCCCCAACCCAAAGGGGGCAATCCACCTTTTCCCAGCAGATCCTGAATGCTTCACACTTGGATGTAAACTGCCCCAGTGCCTGCTGGAGGTCATGGTGGGTTGAAGCCAACAGAACCACATCATCTGCCAAAAGCTGAGATGTAATTCTGAGGTCCCCAAACTGGACCCCTTGCTCCCCCCGGCTGCGCCTCAAGATCCTGTCCATGAATATCACAAACAGGATCGGAGACTAGGGACAACCCATCCATGAAGATGCATGTTGTTCCTCTCTGTCATGAAATTATCATAATTCAGCCAGGGGCACTTTAGTCAAAGAAAACTTTATCACCATTTGCAGTATCATATTTATATTTGGCGGTATGGCTCTGTTCTGGGGCCTCTTCCATGCAGAAAGCCTCTTCCATGTCCCTATGAGGACAGCCAAAGGCAGAAAGAGCAAACCTCTCTGCCCTTCCATGCGCCTACATGGAAAACCTAAGGCAGGGAGAGCAGCAGCAAAAACTCCCCGGGAACAAAACAGAAGGCATCAATGACAATCAATGATATTGTATCCTGCCTCAACTAATGCTATGATCAATTTTTAAATTGAATTTGTTACCAACCACTGCAACATCGTGACAGCTAATATTCTCCTCACCTTATGAGTCTGTCTTTGTGTGTGTATTTGTATTGTCTTATATTCCCCAGCACGTTCCAGCTACCTGACACAACCCTTCACTACACTTTGCCTCTAAACTGCTCTGTGCCTCACTCTGCAGTGTGTGCAGCTTATACTGGTGCTGATTATGTGTTAAAAACAGAACTTCATGTAGAAAAGTTTGGAATTGGGACGCTGCTTTACTTCATGTGAACACACAGTGTGAGAGGGAAGGAGTGCAGCAAAGGGAAGTAATGGGACACAGCATTGAACTTTTGTTACGTGACATTTACTTGTGTCTGCCCCAAGGTCACAGATTCACTTCCTGCAGCTGTCAGTCTGTCCGTCATCCACCATGACAGACACACTGACTGACTGCTCATCTGAAAAATGGCTGCCACCTGATGCAGGAGCTGCACAAGTAAATACTGATCCGGAGAAGTTTAGTTTTTACTGTATAGAAAATCTTTACCTCGCACTGATGCGGTCCGTGTGCAGTTGTACAGGATGGCTAGTTCTCCAAACGTGGTCCACACTGTTATCGATGTGAGCAGTTTGTTGTGTTGAAACACATCCAGCTTCCCATCTGTAAATATGAAACAAGGACAATCAATAGTGTTTTTAAACCCACATTTAGGACACGGGAGACAGACACGTGCTGCAGACAGAATCTAAAGACATTTACATTTCATTCACTTCACATCCCAAAATTCTGTTTGTGCTTTTCATCATTTCACCAGCTGCTAGATGATGATAGAGCCTGAAAGGACTGAGAGAATACCTGCAAACAGGCAGGTGTATGGAGTCTGTTCAGAGACTCAGGAGATATGAGCACATACGTTCTGTATGCAGGTTTCATTTCCTGTGATTTTACAGTTTTAAGGGCCTCTTTAATGCCTTAAGCCTGAGACGTGTCACAATCCATTAAATTGCTAAATACTTCATGTAAGACAAGAAAACCAAAAATAACCCTGTCCCTTCTTCCTCTCCTCCTTCCTTACCAACCAAGTGTTGGCACAACTTAAAGGTCCACTGTGTAGGATTTAGGGGAATACACAGGTAGAAATGGCGAATATTATGTTTTCTTTTTCTTTTTCTCTTCTTTAGCGTGTAACCACCTGAAAATAAGAGACGTTGCGTTTTTTGTTTTTTTTCAATATTGTATATCATCTTTAGCCTGGAAATCCAGACCCAAATCTAGAAAGATTTAAGGTCTGGCTATGAGTAATGAAAATGGCCCAACTCGAGGGGCGGCACCAAGCATGCATTTGTAAATATCACTGCACGCAATTGGATAACACTGCGACCAATCAGAACAATACACGGGGTGACGTATACACTTAGCTACCAGCGGAGCTAACTGGTAGATTAGACTCTTGCCATATCGGGTCAGCAAAACAGCAAAAATGTCCTTCTTGCAAAGGAAAGATTCGAGCGCCGTCTTCTGTTCCTCTTTTAGAGAAAAAGCCAAGTCTAACTCGTTCATTGTAGCAGCCAAAGCCGTTTCAAACAGCTGGTGTTCATCCGTAGCCATCTTGCAATGTTTACTGACTGATTCCGACGTCGTCGTCACAGCGCTGTCGTCATCTGTTTAGCTCCCCTCTGGTCCGCCTATATCAGATACACCGATGTGATTGGTGCAGCTCGGCTCCAACAGCATGGGTAATGAGCATCATTACTGATTGCCAGAGTGACTCACTGAGCAAACTCAAATTGTGCTCTACTGAGAACTCTGGATTTCCAGGGTATATCATCTTACTATATAATGATGAAAACTCTGTCTGTGTGTCTGTTCCACGTTTTTCTCCTCACTGACTTGGTCAATCCATGTGAAATTTGGCACAGTGGTAGAGGGTCATGGGAGGATGTGAATGAAGCAATATTACATCAAGTGGCCAAAGGGGGGCGCTATAGCAACTGATTGAAATTGCAAACTTTGAATGGGCATATCTCATGCCCCGTATGTCGTAGAGACATGAAACTTTGCACAGAGATGCCTCTCCTCATGAGGAACACATTTGCCTCAAGAACCCATAACTTCCGCTTATATAGATTTTCCGCCATTTTGAATTTTTTGAAAAACACTTCAAATGGATCTCTTCCTAGGAAGTTTGAGCGATCTGCATGAAACTGGGTGAACATAATCTAGGGACCAATATCTAAAGTTCCCTCTTGGCAAAAGTTGGAAAACTTACTAAAACTGAGCTTCTATAAGGCAATGAATATTGCGGAGGGCGTGGCTCATCACATAAAGGTGTATAACATCTCAAGGGTTTCACCCATCACCACGCAACTTTGTAGGCATATGACCACACATAATCTGAGGGGACCCCTCCATTATTGACCCCATCAAACAAAATGGGGGCGCTAGAGAGCTCATTTCTTATCTAGGCCTAACCGCCATATGGATTTTTACTAAACTTGGTAGATATGTAGAACAGGACGCCTCAAGGTGACTGGAGAAATTTAACTCTAATTGGCAACTGGGTGGCACTATAACAACAGAAAAATGGCTAAAATGCGACTGATCGCTGTGGCTCTCCCTGTGGACCAATGTTGTTTTCGGCCACTTTTATTTTCGTACTAATAAATTCATAAAATCTCTGTCTGAATACATTGGTCTTCTTAATGGCCTTAATGACCTGTATCCCAAACACACACCATGTGAAACTGTATGTGGGCAACTGTGCACTCAATGGGTATGGTCTAGTATTTCATATTATGTTTATATTTACATAGGGAGTTGTGTAGCAGGTGGCACTTTGTATGGTAGCCTCGGCCACCACTGTATGAATGGGTGAATGTGACTCGTAGTGTAAAAGCACTTTGAGTGGTCAGAAGACTACAAAGGCACTACACAAGTGCAAGTCCATTTACAAACTGAACACTGGCTCTAGATAGGGCCATTCACATTTTGGTGCTGGCCACTGTAGTTAGCTGCCCGTCCACGATGAGCGCCACCGGAAAACACTGATTTTATTTAGCATGAAACTGCTTTATTCAGTGTTTTTACCAGTTTAAATCACCTGGTCTGTTTGTTTTGGAGAGGAAGAGATCTCTGTGGGTGATTCAGCTCCCAGTAAAAACCCCCACTTAAGGAATAATAACCAGGAGAAGTTTCAGCTTGTTGCAGTCTGCAATCCTCACCACTAGATGCCACTAAATCCCCTAAATGTTAAAGCCCTGACACACCAAGCCAACGATCGGCCCCCAGTTCATCATGTTGTAATGCACACATAAATATGCTTTGGTCTTTCAGAACTGAATTGTATTGTTAATGTGCTAACTGGCTAACTAGCATCAAGATGGTCCTCTGGTTTCCCGTTTTGAATGACGATTACAAACTACCACCATCTGCTGGTATGGAGAATTATTTCGTAGCAGGCTGCTTCGTCGCCACTGGTTCTTTTGAGTCAGTTTGCTTTGTCTGGACCTTCACACACTGGACCTTTAAGACATGACATGTATTTTTAGGCTTCTTGTCAATCAGTGACCCTGAAATGAAATCATTTGCTGCATGAATTATGACTCAAATTAAAGACTTCATTAATGAGATTACAATCACTGGCCCCTGACGTCTGTGTGATTATTTCAGGAGCTTCATTAGTGACTAATTTGTTTTGATACCTTAGTAACATCACAGAAGCTGCGCTGGATCCAGTGTAGGTGGTGAAACATGTCACATCATTCGTCTTCGGAGAAACATTACCGTTAAGATTTGTCTTCATTTTAAAACAAGTAATATTTCATTTCTGACTCTCTGTGAATATGTTTGGACATCTGATGCTGGAGAGACGACATTACTGCAGCGACTGACCTGCTGTGTTTTTCTGACCAGGGTGAGAAATCGCTGTAACACCAGACAGCAGGACAAATATGCAGACATTTTGTCTGTGAATGGCTAATTTCACCAACAAGCTCACTGGCAGACGACCAATGGTTGTTTAGAGACCATGTGGTCATCTAAAACACTTGGTTGCTTGGTTACTTCAAGAGAGCTGCCAGTGAAGTGTCAGACGTACCGGCTACTGTAGATATAAGAGGTCAGCTGTGAGTTCACTATATCAACTAAAAAAACACCCAAACTGAACATTAAATTAAATTATAGTTATAGTAAGTGGACAAATGAGGAATTTGAAAAGTAGGAGAACATTTCAGTTCAATGTACTTCATATACACTGCGCCTGGGTGACTGGATGAACACATTAAAGTCCAAAATTAAAAAGTTTTTTGCTCTCCTGCCAAGAGCTGATAAACCAGAGGGATTAACACCTGCCAACAAAACCTTTCTCTGGCCAAAATCATTACAATCTGTATTTCTCAAACAATAACATTAGTCTACTTAACCTTTAAACTGGCACAAAAGTTCGCAGAAGTTTAGCCGGCATTAATCTGTGCGGAGCGGTGGGACCAATCAAAGCCTCCCTGATGCACAGCTGCTGTTTCGCTTTGATTTTATTGGCTCGTGGTCAGAGAGGCTGTACAGTAGCCAGTGAGGGCAAAGTTTGAGAACATGCAAAGAACAAAACAGTCATCTTAAAAAGCTACATAGCAGTGCTGCAGGTGGCTCGCTCTCTGCTGCCAGACTCAGATTTTTCTCTGTCAATTTAAGTCTCTGACCATCTGAGTCAGCAGTTTTTAACTCAATGACTGGTCACTTAAAATGGAGACAAATGTAATTTAACACACAGTTTGGGAGGGATATAAATCCTCCGGCTGATTTACAGTTTTTTTAAGTTAGGAACAAAGGACCTGGTTTTAAGAATATGTGATGTTACCAGCAGTTCATGTCCCTAAACAGTCTTAGATTGGGTCTGAATGGAAAGCTGAAACTCTTGCGGATTCCACTTTTATTCATGTGTGATGATGTTTGTCCCCAAAGCAGCCATTTCACTGTAGTGAGACCTTTTTTTTAAACTTGACCTCACTGTATAAATTGACCTCTTGTGACCTCTAGGATAATCCCACCCTCGTAAAACTTTATAACCCCAAACTAGAGACCTCAGGCATTCAGAGGGTGTATGGCTTTCATAGGTATATTGACAATCAGGGGGTTTCTCAGCCATTTTGAGGAACATAGGTGCTCGCCATCCAGTTGCCAAAAATGCAGTTGTTACAGGAATTTCCAAATGGGTAGAGTTTTTGATATAAATCACAGCATGGATTTTTCTACAGTGTTTCAAAAGGTCTTGGTGTCTTAATGTGGTGTGTTGGAGGGATTGTTATGAAATTTCGAGTGGTAAAAAAATGCTTTAATGTAGCACCAAATCTGTGTAACAAATGGTATCAACCAAAAAATATGTAACAACTTATGAGACATAATTGAACATGGGGCTGGCCATCATGTTCTGAGCCCAAACCTTAAGTTTTTTAGTTTAAGTTTATTTCCTTTATTAATCCCCCTGAGGGGAAATTCAATGTTTACAGCCTTACAAATTGGAATGGGCACCTAACCAAAACACAATGTTAACTATAGATTTATGACAGCAAAAATGTGACACACAGTACTGAGCTGAAATTAATCTGCAGGTTGCCAGCTTTCAGATGATGTATACCACCTCAATGTGGCATATAATGTTGACCTGCTGTCTCCCCCTAAACTTATCTGCATGTCTTCAGACAGTGAAGGAGCCAACATGACAATAGCAGATGTCTCCTTACTGGAAACAACTTTGAAAATATTGTGAGGACGCTCTGCACGTGTGTTAGATGTGTTTGCAAACCTTGTATTTATGTGATGTCAGTAAAAGTTAAGTGACTGTAAAACTGTAAAATGTCCTCAGAGGCTAAAGGCACTCATCCTTTCCCAGGATTCCCTTCATGATGCACTTGTTTTGTCTCTTTATGACAGGGCTGGCTGATGAAGAGCCAAAGACTCCACCCACTGATTAACACTCAGAAAAATCACCTGCTGAGGTTGCAGACTGCTGACTTCCTCACTGATCACGTCACATGTTGCTACTGCTTCTTGCTAGGTGTTACATGTCATGTGATGTTTGTAGTTTAAAAAGAATCAGTCACTTGAGGCAGTGGACAGAAAAAAGTTGGATTTCTTGGATTTATTTCCAGCCTGAGAAGAAAAAGATGATGAAACAAGAGTGGACGTACCTGCCAGGACGAACAGATGGTTCCCAGGTTCTCCCTGCTTGATGACGTACTCTCCCTGCTGGTAGGTGCGCTCATACATACACTCCACCATGTCTTTGATCTGCTGCAGCTCCAGCCTCTTCAGGTACTGGTTCTTGTTCAGGGAGTCTGTCAGCAGCTTCTTCACACTGTCACCAACACAGGAAATGTTAGACATATGACCTCTGCGGAGGAAATAACTGGACTTTTTGAATGTTGGTGGTGGTATTTAAGAATATAACGGACAGTGGTGCCATTTTTTCTGTCATAAATCTTTACTTTAGATTAGTTTTTGTGCTTTTGGTATATGTTATCTTTAGGCAGTTGGAATCTAAGTTCGAAGACAGGTATAGTCAAAGCAAGGGGGCCGGAAGTAGGGGCTTTAAAGGCCCTGATGCACAAAGCTGATGGTCAGCTTTCAATCCATGTTTGGTCGTCGATGACCATCTATCCCCCTAATCGGTGTCCCACACCTTTGCCCCTCGTCGGCCCCCACCTGCTTTTTTCTTGTTGGCCAATTCAGCATGTTGTCGGCGTCAGCGATGGAACGACGGTATGAGAGTAAAGCCTGAGGTCGGGGCAGAGCCTGATGGTGAATGAAATCACTCTGATGGGCAGTTCAGCTCAGGGCATGATAAAAGAAACGGAGGTGAGGAAAGTAAACAAAGAGCTAAACTCAAAAGGGAGTGAGACCAAAACAGACTTGTTTCATAAGGTAAGATTATTTTTCTTAAGTCACTGAGCTCTTCAGCAGAAATGCCTTGTGATGGTTTGTGTTATTGTTTACTGGCACACACTAAATGTGCTCTGTTGTTTTTCAACATTGGATTGCTAATGTGCTACCTGGCTCACTTGCATCAGGGCGATCTTCTAGTTTCCTTTGTTGAATGAAGAGAGTTATTTCCTCTCACACAGGCACAGAATGTACCGAGAAACAGGTGACGTGAGGTGATGCAGCAGTCGGCTTTCATTGCTGCAAGTTTTCTGAAGTCAGTTTGGTGTGTCTGGGCCTTTAGGTGGCAGAATGCTGTATCATGGCTGAAGATCTGTTTGCAAGACGGTCCTCAGTTAGTTTGTAAATTAAGATTTTGCATACAGTATGACAGAAACTAAATAGTCAAAATGTCTTTCCTTCTTTCTTTGTCCTACTTCTCTCTACAGTCAAAACACACAATCAACATCAATCTACGGCAACAATTTCTAAATCAATAATTTAATTCTTTTTCAAAGCAAAAATGCCAAAAATTGACCTCTCCATTTTTCCTTCTTCTGTCTTTTGTCAGTCTTTACATTTTTCTTTCATCTTTTCAATCAGTTCTTCCTACTTTTCTTTCTCTTTTTCAGTCATTTTTTATTCCTTGTTTCCATTTTCTTCCTTTGGACTTCCTTCATTATTAAAAACTTTCCTTCCTCCTCCCCTCTTTATGTAATTCTTTCCTTCTTTTTTCTTTCATACCCTCTGTCCTTCCTAATTTTCTATTTCCCCTTCCCTCTATCATTTGTGTCCAACACAACAGTCTTTTTCACTATGAGTATTTTCGCTTGGTACTTGTGATATTTGAGTATGACCTGCTTATTAAAGATAATCCACAGACCTTGTTGTGAGCAGTTTCACGTAGGAACTATTTTCTATCTACCAAACTACACCCTCCAAACGTATCACCGTGCAGAAGGAAGTGTGCATCTACTCATTGTTGTTGTTTGTGCATTGATTGGTTGCGGGTCTAGTTTGGTAGCAGGAAAATAGTTCCTTCATGAAACTGCTCACAACAAGGTCTGTGGATTATCTTGAGCAAGCAGGTTGTGATATCTGGAAAGAGACATTGATGTTGAAGGTTTTTTTTTGGCGCTCTGACAACCACAAGCTGAGTACCATCAAGTTTGAGATCTCCAACACCCTGCAGCTCACACTGAAACTCTGTAGACTAATAAATAGCACCACAGGTGAGAGGACAAATATGTATTTTTGATTTTGGGGTGAACTGTCCCTTTAAGTAAATGATACTTTAAAGGGCTTCTTCCACCGCTGACTGCAGCTATGTTTCTGAGCGTTTCTGTGCGTTCCTGAGCCACCAGGACGCCCACATTCACATTACTCACCACGTTTTTAGTCTGAGTGATAAATATTTTGTCTCCTGTGAAAAGATGACTATTTGCAGCCTCTGGGCTCCTTCCGACAATGAATCAAGTAAAACAGCGAAAACATAAAATCATCATGAGCTGTCAAAGTTCACCGTTGTGCATTTTAACAGCTGCAGCCAGAGGCCGCGAGAAGAAGACATCACTTCCTTTGGGGAGTTGTAAACCAAAAAGGTTAAGAGTCACGGTTGGATGCAAACTATAGATCATGAGACCCGGTCGCTGCTCAGAGAGGTGAGCGGCGCAGGAGGTGGGTGGTCTGTTTATCCACCTTATCGTGCGTAATAAATTATCACTTTGGGCTTCATAAAACCCGAGCAGATGACATGCACTCCTTTATTTTTTCAACCCACATCGTCTCCTCCCACCTCGCTGTGTCATTACTCTGAGTCTGCAGCGTGTTACATTGTCATTCACAGAGGATGAGAAATCAGTTTCAAAGGGCCAGTGTGCATGAGGGGACCAGACTGCCTCATTTCCATCAGGTTTGGTTATACAATACATGCTGGGCTTATTAGTGACACATGTTTTAAACATGAGGATCAGGTTGAGAGAAGGAGGCTCTGCATGCTCACATTTATTCACTGCAGAGCGCCGTGTTCATGTCGCACAACGTGAAGCACACTGTGACAAAAGGCCTTTTGACTTTCATGTTGGAAAACTTAACAAGACTTCCTGCTCTTATTAAATAAACTTTGTGTTGTTTCTTGTCTCAGTGAGCGAGCTGTGTGCGCAGGAAATGATCAGATGTGACACATTAAAGATCCTGCAATTGGATTTGATCCTAATAAAATGAATCTAAAACTTTCTTTACCAGGTTAAAATGGGTTACAGGTAAATTAAAAAGCCGTGATGACGATGTGTTCGTGTCCTCCTGCCTGGAGTCTTCACAAAATTTTATTGGCTTTTGCTGATCCAATTAGAAGATTGTGTTCAGAATTTCCAAACCTTGTCAGAGGATTTGAGGACATCAGGAGCTAATGGTGCGTTCGTTTTGTACTCAGAGGTCGGAAGTTTAAACTCAAACACACCCTGAGATCAGATTTCCAACTCCGAAACTTGGAGTAACTGCATCAACCCCAATTTACGAATTCAAGATGGCTGCCGGTCACATACATAGTGAGTAAACACTCTGCTAAAGTACTGTTTATAGCAATTTTGTCTTATTTGTTTTACATTCGGTCAGCCTCATCTGCAGCGTTCATCAGTTGGAGTGCATGATGGGCAACAAAGGCTTTCTTGTGGGCGTCCATGTTTCTTTCCGACTTGTCCACTGTCGTCAACTAGAACAGAAAGCTGTTGTCAACTCGGAGGTGACGTCATTCCTTCATCCGACTTCCGACTTCCGAGTACAAAACGAACACACCATTAGCCCAGATCTCTGTAGAGGATGTCTGGGGTGGATCCTCCCCTGGGAATTTTTTTCATGAAGATGCTCTAGTTTGATGCTTTTTATTCACTCTGGCGTCCTTCATTCATTCATTTTCCAGGGCCGCGTCGGTGGGGTGGAGCCTATCCCAGCTGACACTGGGTGAGAGGCAGGGTTCACCCTGGACAGGTCACCAGACTATCACAGGGCTGACACATAGAGACAGACAACCATTCACACTCACATTCACACCTACAGGCAATTTAGAGTCACCAATTAACCTGCATGTCTTTGGACTGTGGGAGGAAGCTGGAGCACCTGGAGAAAACCCACGCTGACACAGGGAGAACATGCAAACTCCACACAGAAGGGCTCCCCCAACTTGAGGTTTGAACCAGGAACCCTCTTGCTCGCTTGTTGCTTGTACTTGATTTGATGTATTTCTATTTTATGTTACTTTACTTCTACTCCTCTACATCTCAAAGGGAAATATTGTACTTTTTACTCCACTACATTTATTTGTCTGCTCTAGTTACTTTGACAACTTAGAGTATAAATACAAAATATAATCAACGAATTATAGAATTATAGATTAAACTACCCAGCAGTATAAAGCTTTTAAAATTAGATCTACCAGCTGCAACACTGAAGTGACTATGTGTGCACGCAATCACACAAAATGTGTCACTTGAATGACACAGAGGACCCAAAATTTGCTTTATTGATCAACAATATCGTGTTATTTTCAAGGGCTATAATTAGGGTTGGGATCCGGATCCGGTTCTTTTTTGGAACTGGTTCCATCACATTTAGAGTAATGGTTCCTGCAAACGGTTCCTAGATTGTAAAAAAAAACGTCACGTGCATTTCCATTAGAGTGCGGCACGGGCCGCATATTTCTGTCCGAATCAGACCGAGCCCGACATTATTTAATGACTAAAGCACTGAGTTTGTGTCACACAGTTGTCATGGTTACAGGCTATTTAACAGGCCGGATGTGCGCCGTGGGCGCTCAGCGGAGAGGGAGACCTCCGTGTTTGAGACGGGAGCGGGCGGTGGGAGGTCCGATGCTTCCAGCGAGGGGAGAGGGAGAAATATAACAAAATAAGATAAAATAGGAAAAACCTGTCTCCCTCTTTTATTTAATTTTCAGCGTTTAATCAAGGTGGAGGCTGGCGGCGGAATGTCCGAGGCTTCCAGCGAGGGGAGCGGTATAAACAAACAGCCAATGTGTGTGTGTGTTCTGTTCAGGTGTTGTCACGTAAATAACAGTGCCCAAGCATGAATGCATGTAAGTATTTTTTATTACATTGTCGTGGTTAATTTGAGGTAATAGTGTTACTGTAGAAATCAGAGAATCACTTTTTGTTGTTATATATTCTCAGGGAGATGATACAAGCTCTAAATCTAAAATACACACCACACACAAATGTGTAATTTCATCTAATTGTACTGTGCAACAGTTAGAATAAAGTTTTTGTATTTGTATGATTGCATCTGTGTTTATTATAAACTTGTTTAAGTATAGCAAGTAGCCTATAATGAATATAATGTAGGAATCGATAAGAGGAATCGGTAAGGAGTCGGAATCTTTAAAATCCTAACGAGTCCCAACCCTAGCTATAATGCACAAACAAAATG